AAAGGATATGAACAAACACATTTCAAAAGAAGACATTTATGCGGCCAACAAACATATGATTAAAAAAAGGTCATGATCCCTAGTCATGAGAGAAATGCAAATCAAAACCACAATGAGACACCATGACATGCCAGTCAGAATGGTGATCATTAAAAAGTAAAAAAACAAAAACAAAAACAAAAAAAACAGATGCTGGAGAAGATGTGGAGACATAGGAATACTTTTACACTGTTGGTGGGAGTGTAAACTAGTTAAACCATTGTGGAAGACAGTGTGGCGATTTCTCAAGGATCTAGAACTAGAAATGCCATTTGATCCAGGAATCCCATTATTCGGTATATAGCCAAAGGATTATAAATCATTCTACTATAGACATATGCATACATATGTTTATTGCAGCACTATTCACAATAGCAAAGACTTGGAAGCAACTGAAATGCCTATCAACAATAGACTGGATAAATAAAATGTGGCACATATACACCATGGATTAGTATGGAGCCATAAAAAGGATGAGTTCATGTCCTTTGCAGGGACATGGATGAAGCTGGAAACCATCATTCTCAGCAAACTAACAAAGGAACAGAAAACCAAACACTGCATGTTCTCACTCATAAGTGGGAGTTGAACAATGAGCACACATGGACACAGGGAGGGTGTAGAAGGGGAGAGTTTAATATACAGAAGAACAATCAGAGAAAGCTCTTTGGTTGGCTTGGACCTGGAGTTATTCAAGAATAAGTGGGGTGATTAAGCACTTGTTCATCATGTTGAAGAGGATCATGAATTAGATAAGGTTAAGATAGAAGGCCTCAAGGTCCCTTCTAACTCTAATAATATACACCAATTATTAAATGCTCATTAAGCTTGACTAAATATTTTATAAGTCTTATATCATTTAAATCTCATAACAACCCAGTAGGTTAGGTATGACTGTACTCATTTTACAAATGAAGAAACTGAGCCTGAAATCTGGTAGGACTTGGATTTGAATCCAAGTCAGAATGACTTAAAGCCCAGCTACTAACAACTGTATTATAAATGTTGTCTGGGAAATATAGCTTCTGTTTTGTTTCACTTTGTTTTGTTTTGGTCAGTTTCTTTGCCTATTCTGCGAAACTGAAGCCAAGTTGCCTTCTAGAAAAAAAATTTGTAAACTATAATTGTGTGGAAAGGAAAGTGAAAAGCCATTATCTCAGCTGGTTTCCTTCAAATTTCTGAGAAAGTCAACACATTTCCCAAGGAAAACTTAAGCTTTTAATTGTGATCTCTTTGTGTTTTGAGAGTGGAAAACAGAACAGCTTGGAAGAAACCAACATTTCCCAAAGAAAACTTATGCTTTTAGTTTTGATTTCTTTTGTGTTTTTAGCAATGGAGAACAGAAAAGAAAAATCCAGAAGGTATTCTGTTTATTACCATTACAAAATCAGCAAAAGCTTTGTTTTTTTTTGTTTGCCTGGATCCTTTCGAAAAAGCATTTTAAAAGTATTTGTTCAAGGAAAGGGAAGGGCAGTGTTATGTTTTAGTTCCTCGGAGTGTCTCAAATGCTTTCAAGAGCATTGAGATATTTTCCGAACACAAATAATTCAAAATCACTCAAAACGAATAAGAGCCTTGGCCAGGCGCGATGAATCACGCCTGTAATCCCAGCACTTTGGGAGAACAAGGCGAGCGGATCACCTGAGGTTGGGAGTTCAAGACCAGCCTGACCAACATGGAGAAACCCCGTCTCTACTAAAAATATAAAAATTAGCCAGGCATGGTGGGACATGACTTTAATCCCAGCTACTCAGGAGGCTGAGGCAGGAGAATCGCTTGGACTCAGGAGGCGGAGTTTATGGTGAGCCGAGATGGGGCCATTGCACTCCAGCTTGGGTGACAAGAGTGAAACTCTGTCTCAAATAAATAAATAAATAAAGGGCCTTAATCGGGTTTTAAGTAGAGAGAAACTTGAGAAATAAACAAACAGTCATATCAGGTGACATAGAAACTTCAGAAAGTTTTGGCTTAACAAAGAAAATGTCAGGAAAGGGGTGGAGAAAGAAAGAGAAGGAGACGGTTAAGGGGAGATAGAGAAAGAAGGAAGAAAGGAAGGAAGGGAAGGAGGGAGGGAGAAAGAAAGATGGAAGAAAGGTAAAATTGGAGATGAAACTAAAATAGTCACTTATACGTGTGGTAGGCTTACCAATGGGTTTCATGCTTATTTTCTTAAGGACAAATATTAAGGAAAATGGTTGTCAACTGACTGTATTATCTTACAACTCCATAAAACTCTCTTAACTTCTGCATTACAAAACTCAGATTCAAAATTAAAAACAATCATTTTACGTATTTAAATCTTGATATTAAGATTCCCACAGTGGATTTCACAATTGATTTTTTTTTCTGCCTTCATTTTTTTTTTACTAACTTTTGAAAAATCTTTTCATTTTTTATCCATGATACATTTGAATTTCATTAATACTATTAATATAGGAACCAAATTGGATATTCTTCCATCCCCCTGAAATTTTGTAGTTTAGATAATTTGCATTCACAAATCGTGTAAAATTAAAATTGTTCAAAAGGCCCAGAACTTTAAATTAAGAAAAAGCCATTTTCCATAAATATATACTGTCATATAAAATACTGCTTTATGCTAATGATTTATCTCTTTTGCCAGTTCTATAGGGGTAAAATTATCTTTCTCTTATTTTTATAATTCCCAGCAGAGTATCCTTTTACGTATAAGCTCATAAAAGATATTTATTGAATTAATGAATAAACATCTATATGCCTGATTGGATGTAATGGAATTTCTTCTTTATAATATGGAAGATTTATAAACTGCTAATTATTTGTCAAATGCAATAGGAGATAGATGGCCCAAATTTCAAGTAATAGATAAAAAAGAAGGTAAGAAGATTTGGAATAGTTTTTTAGATTTATCATTTTTCCTTCTTAATAACTAGAGAAAATGCTGGAAAATATACACCTCACAACTTAGAAAATAAAGAGAATTCTGTAGTTTTATAATCAACCATTAATGCATCATTGGTGGGAAAAAGATGTTTAGTATCTAATATTGTTCTTGTATTGAATCAAGAAAACTGGTATTTATTCATCATTTTAAAATGAACACTGTTCTATTCTTGATACAGAAATATGACAAATGTAAATCTTAAGCTAAAAATTTTATTCGAGAATTCTCTTTAAGTTAAACCCACACACGTACACATGCACACACACACTCATATCTAAATGTATTTAATATTTATTTTTTACTCTTTAAGTGATGTTATTTACATGTGCTGTTAGAATGCAAACCTTATCATTAGGACATCAAGGATTAAGCTCTGGCAGTATTAAAGTTAGAACAGTCACATGTCTGCAAATCTCTACATAGGTAAGAAGAAGAATCACTGTAAAACGAATGCTTATTCTTTAATGGTAAGTGATGTGGAACAACGTGTACTTAGTTCTAAAGTTCAGTTAAGGAGACTTCCGGAAGGTGCATAGCTACTGTATGAGTGTGGGGTGCAGAGATGGAGGATGCTTCTGGAAGTCAAGCAGTGAAATTCCATAGTATACTCAGAAAAGTTAATAGTTCAGTTATTTCCAAGAAGCCTTCTTGCTGCAGACCACTAATTAATGGTCCCACTGCTCTTCTCTTTCATTGGTGCCTTCCTCTTCTTCAGGGAATGCTGATTCATTCTGGCCTTTCAGATGCTTAGCCCCTGAAATTATAAAAATTATGCAAAATTTAAATGATTTTCATTTCTGGAAGATTACTGTGCTGCAAGAGATAAAGAAAAGAGTGGAAAGTTTTCATTTGATGTTTATGTGTTTTTCTCCAAGAATCTTGACAATGTAGTGCTATATAAACCTTTTAATTCACTGAGCAATAAAAACACACCCAGCTGAATTTCCATTAGAGGCGGGCTACCTTTTATAATTAAAGCTTCTCCATTAGGGATTACATCACAGCCTATTAAAAACCTGTTAACTAAAAATCTGCTCACAGGTTCTTATTATAATTCGCATGTATCACTTAGTTCAAATATTGCTTTTGGCATCCCTCAGTTCTATTACAATGAGAACTATTGAAACTCCTAGGAAGAAAAGGACATGTGTGCCATTTCTGTAACTTATAAACAATCACAATATTGTGAATCTTCTTTCAGTAACTAAACATACCATTGTGATTATGAAACTTCTCTATTCAAAATTCTTCAGCCTACACAGTGGGAAAACATACTACACAAGGCTTTTATGATATGGACTCTCTACCATTTCTCACCAGCCTTTCCTGCTTTCAGGGTAATTTACACTTAACAACACTAACCTACTCTTCCCCCGGCCACTCCATGCTCCCTCAGGCTTCCATACTTTTCTTGACCTGTTCTCACTGCCAGACATCTTCATCCTACACACATACCTGATAATCTCCCACTCATCCTTCTGGTATCAGCTTGCCTCCTCTCTGAGGGGTACTCCAATTCTCCATGTTCGTAGACTTTCTCATGTTCCCCCCTGCTCTTGGAACATCTATTGTCAGTTACCTTATAGGACTGTATTTGTTTACATATCTTTCTAATTTGAGAAAACTCCTTGATGTTTAAAATACATAATTTCATTTTAGAGTCCCAGGCACAGTGCCTAGCAAACAGTAGGTACTCATTAATATTTATTGTCTAAATGATTGATTGAATTAATGAAGTAACAATTTGGCATATGCCTTTGGCAGTTCCACAATAATCCATCTTTAGATGTTTTTCAAGATGATTTAAAATTTAGAGTATAAATCAGAAGACAATTACTACAACCACACTCAATCTACAAAATTATCTTTCATTTCCCTCGAGTTTATTCTGTTAAGACATCAGACTAGCTGAAACTTTATGTGTATAGTGATGGTTAATGGGGTGGGTGGAGGAAATTTTACACTTTTTTTTTTTTTTGAGACATAGTTTTGCCCTTGTCACCAAGGCTAGAGTGCAATGGCACAATCTCCACACACCACAGTCTCCACCTACCAAGTTCAAGCAATTCTCCTGCCTTAGCCTCCCAAGTAGTTGGAATTATAGGCATGTACCATCACACCTGGTTAATTTTGTATTTTTTAGTGGAGATGGGGTTTCTCCATGTTGGTCAGGCTGGTCTCGAACTCCTGACCTCAGGTAATCTGCCCGCCTCAGCCTCTCAAAGTGCTGGGATTACAGGCATGAGCCACTGTGCCTGGACCATTTTTTTGTATTTTATAAAATTGGTTTATAAGATTTTTAAAGTATTACTAAAAAACACTCCAGTAAGAATTGATAAATGAAAGGAAGTCATTACTCATGCTTGCTATAAAGCAAAGAGTCTCAAGAAACGTGTAAGTTCGCATGTACTGCTGTCAGCAAGCCTCAGAGTGCTATTTGGCAAAGAGTGACATCCTTGGGCTTTATGGATTATCTTGCAAAAATATTTTATCAGTTGTAATAATATTTAAATACCTTAATTTCATCTGCAAACACAGATTACTCACAATTCTTCTTGACCTAAGACTGTAGGGAGAAATTTTTTACCAAGACATGGAATTCATTTCATACCATCATAAATTATTTGAAAAAGAGGTCTCAGTGCTCAGGGAAAGGGAAGAGTGTTTATTGAGTGTCCAACCAGTCACTCTGCTGGAGTCTTACATGCATGAGTCACTAAACCTCAGTATTCCCTGTGGTAAACACCTGGATAGTAAAATTTAGACTTGGAGAAGATATCTGATTTGTACAAGGTTATAAAGGTATTGTGATGCTAAGAGAAGTTCTGACGAATCAGAGTCCCTCAGTATATACTGAATGAATTAATGAGGGTATGAATGAGTAAGTCATAAAGTTCCATTATTAAGAGACACTGATTCATTTTCACCTTTAGCTTTTTGGCTGCATACCCAAACTTTCTATCATTCTCTAGGATTTATCACAGGTTTTGACTACTAATTAACCTGGCACCGAGGTCTTGGGGTTCCCTCTGAAATATTAAGGCACAGTAATTATTCAGCCACCTGCCACTCTTCTTCCTGAGCTGAGCTTGACTATATCTCGCCAGGTTTGCACATGTTCTAATGGCTCTAGAGCTCATCTTTTTCATCCACTAGGTGACTACAAAGTAATAAAGCTGTGTTTAAGATAATGTTCTTTAAATAAGAGGTAATGATCTAATGTCCACATTGATTTGTCTAAATGAGAAGATCAAATGTAAAGGGAAAAAAAATGAGTAATTAAGATGTCTAACTCATTAATCCATTAATCACCCACTTTCCACACTTGAGAATAGGTCTGCTTGTTTACCCTGATCCACATTTAATTTATTTTATAATAATAATGGTCACAAAGTTATATGAAAAAACCAAACCTTTTTAAAAGTAAAATCACTCACTTGGACAAGTGTTAGAAAGTCTTCCTTAGCTCTATGGAATTGTGACATTATTATTTCCAGGTGAAACATTTTGATGAGGCAGGAGCTGGTGACATGTTACCACAGAGCCATTCAGTATAATATCTACCACAAATGCTTTGATTCCCAAAGCAGTTTACTCTAATGCCATCTTTCAATTGGATAATGAACAATTGTTTAATTTGTGCTTTGAAGTAGTCTTCAAGGTAATCTTTCTCTTTTTCTGTCATCAATATTCACCTGATTATGGATGCAATAATGCTGAGATTAAAGTGAGAAGTCTGCTGAGGGCTATGTATAGATTTCTTTCTCCCTACACCTCTCCTGCATCCCAAAACACATGTAGAATTTGTGTTTTAATTTTCTTTAAACCCCCATTTGATTTTTGAGGAGGGTTACATTTGATGTAATTCTAGAGGTGGAAGAAAATGAATTGGCCTGGGGGTGTTGTTGAAATTCTCAGAGCTTCCTCCTCTCTGCCAGATGCTAATGAGCATCAGGGAAATCCCTCCTCTGCACAGGGTTTGAGGCTTGGCACATGGCAAACAGCCCCAGTAGCAAGCACAGACTCAGCCAGGGCTGCATATGAGCAGAAGGCCAAGGAATCCCAAAAAAACACCATGGAGTTCTCTTCCTCAAAGCAAAATGAGCACACAGGAAAAGGAACCATGTAGAAGACAAGGTTATGCCATATAAAAATGTGCAGGAATGAAGAAAAGAAAGTAGACAATAAAAGAAGAAAAGGAAAAGAAAGAAATGTTGATCCCAAGCAGACTATAATACTTATTCTCTTCTCCATTCTGTAGATCAAATGGTTAAATGTGGATTCAATGAAGTTGTAAAGTAACTGAGTGAAGAATTTTGAATACTGAATCCATACACGGAGGTTTATATTTGGCAAACCACAGGTCAATATTTTTAATCGATTAATTTGAAGCAAAAGACAGGAGGCTCATTATATTTGTAGATGACACAAAATTTGGAAGAAAAGATGACATAAGTGGCAGAAAGTAAAGGTTTCCAAGTGCTGGAATGATGGCCTAAGCAATTAAGGTGGAATTCAACAGAATTTTTGTTTTTGGAAAGGTTAATTTAGTTCTTAAAAAAAATAGAGTATGAGGGCAACCTTAGTTAACTATGGTTAGGGATTTTAAGTGACCACAATTTCACTTGACCTGATAAGAGCTACCAGTTTCTAGGCACAGAGCTCCTGGCAGTGTTGGTGGTATTCCTAGTGGCAAAGTTGGCCATATAAGAAAGGGAACTGCTCTCTAACCATGTGTTGGTCATTCTTTTCCTGCAACATGCTGCCTAGTTATCATCTGCATTTTGAGAGGACCAATTCAGAGGGGAATTGGGATTATAAGTAGTTTTATGACATCACTTTTCTGGAGTAATTATAGATGAAACTGGAAGATTTAGCATAGAAGAAACTAATAGAGGACAATAGAGGCTGACTTTGAATTCCTAAAATACTGGAAAAAGAAAATTAATCTATGTGGCTTCTAAGAGCAGAAATGGGGTTAATGGCTGACATTTATGTGTATAGGCAGATTATAGCCCAATATAAAAAAGAAAATTCCCATATTCTTTATGTTTTCCCAGAAATAAACAAATGAGTGAGTTTCTCATCATTGTGTATGTTCAAGTCGAAGCCATAGTTTCATCTCTGAGGCAGGTTACAGATGATTCCTGCATTGAGTAGCAGGGTGAACTCATAACCTCGCAGATCCTAGGATGCTATTAATCCACAAAGGAAATATTCTGTACTATCGAAAAATTAGCTCTATTGTGCATAGTATAAATTACAAAAAAGTAATTATAATGTCAAATGACATAATGGCCCAAATTCACATTTTAAAACTAATTCTCATAGGGAATAGTAAATGTAATTGGATTCATTTTATTTTTTCAACTACATATTTTAGACCATGTAAATCATTTTAAAGTCCTCTAGGGAATCTGTGGGTGGATTTTAAAGAGGCTCTAACCCTCTTGGAATTCTATTTATAGTTTATTTGTGCTTTTTCAGGGAAGGCGGTCAATAGTTTTCAGCACAATCTCAGAGGGGTCTCTGATCTGCAAGTAATTGTGAATTTGAATTCTGATCTCTTTAAATATGAATAAACAGTTTCAGATGGTGAAATGACTTGATTAATTTCCCACAGTGGTTATTGGCTGAGCTGGGACACAAACTTTAGCCCCTGCCTCCTGTTGGAGCCTCCTTACCTGGGTCACCAGGACCTAATCTCCCACTGTTATTTATTTTTTAGAAAGTTAGAATCTGACGAAACTATGG